TTGCTTAACAACCCAAAGTGAACTTTGTCTCTTCTGCTCCCCTGAAGGACGTGGTTGGCCCTTAGGACTCTGGCTGTCATTGTAATGAGCTTTCTCCTATGGTAGAGATCTAGGCACAATTTTCTTTTCCCTGTGTGCTTTGCCCTTAATAAATGTTCAGTAAAAAGATACAATCAAATAAAGAAAACCTAAGCATGTGGCAAAGAGCAGTTGTCATCAAAGGCACCTGGAGGGAGGTAGAGATGCGTTACCACTTTCTGGGACATTATGGTCTGTCTACACTCACAAAATGAGTGCTAGTTGTTGCTTTGTTTTGTTTTTGGCAAGATAGGTGCACCTCAGGGCTTTCTACCACTGCTTCTGTCTTCCAAAGCAAGCTGGGGAGCCCTGGTTGACGTAACAACTGCTTATGACTTTCCCTTGTGGTCATTTTTACAAAAGCAGTTTTACTAATAGGCTGTTTACAGTCATTTTCCTTTCACAGCTGGCCCCGGAGTGAAATGAAAACAACAACAAAAAAATTATACCCAGGGATTTATCAATTTTTCTCCCTTATAAACTGTTAGTGCATCTCAGCAGGAGAAGTTCACAATCCCCAATTTATAACTGCGTTCAGCAGGATTTGTCTGCCCAGATTGACTCACAACGTGGAAAACGCCCAGATCCCTCCAGGGGAGCTGCTGCCCCTTGCTGAGCCTGGCAGCCTCATTGCTGGGTCTGTGATGTGGCCAGGGGGCTGCGGCTCGCGGGGCATCAGAGCTGTGCAGGGAGAAATGGAGACACCTTCCCAAAGTGTCTTTATGAAGATTCCAAATGGGCAGAGGGGCTTTATTCCTCCTGCATATATTTACTTAAGTTTCTTTTTAATATTTCCAAGGGGGAAAAAAAAACCCCACGATCATGACATTTAGCATGCAAGAAGTAGGGGACGGCCCAACAGCGGTACCTAAAATCCCAAGCTAGAATAAGACAGTGAAGGGACGAGACACAGACAAGCAGGAAGGAAAAAAGTAAGAGGCAACAACTCAGATTTCTTCACTGATCAAATGGGGAAGAAAGACATAGCCAAACCCCATTTGGTGGTATGTGGGAGGAGCTACCCAGATAAGCCATTGCTTTAAGGTTATGGTGAGTGAAAGGAAGGAGTTTATGCGAAGGATCATTTCATCCTTTCCATATACACTTGGTTGAATAATCAAGCCCATAGTTGTGATTCCCTTTAATGTTGCCTTTGCTTAACAACCTTGGAACCCGCAAGCCAGAAAGCTGAGGATTATGCTCATCTCCACCTCTGCCTGGGCACCTCAAGATCTCCTAAGACCCACATTCCATTTGTTTCACTTCCATTCTCATCTGACATCCTTCTCACCGTACTCTTGGTATATAATAAGCTGATTTGTGGTTGGAAAGATCCCTTAGGTGATGCTGTCTGTTCCAATAACTGCTTAGATACTTTCGGTCTTCCTCTCACACCAAGGGTGGACCTACCAGCCCAGCATTTCACCTGCGGCTTCCCAGGGAGCCTGGCATGACCTTGTGGATTTGTTTATTAGCTGTTCTGTTAAAATTCCATTCATTTATTTAAATAAACAACTCGGATCTCTGTTCCTACCTCAAGGCTCTCTCCTGCAGCAGCCTTAAATCAAAGAATTTAATGGTACTTTTTTTCATTTATTTAATTTTTTATTCACTTACTCATTCATCCAAACTGAGAGTCAACTAAAAGCCGGAAAAGTCATAAAACAATCTCAGCTTCATGCAGCTTTCAATCTAGTGGTAGACATGGACTTAAATAAATTATTCTACTAATGAGCTGTATAATACAGGGTATCAAATCTAGACTCAGTTTATCTAGCCTAAGAAGAACATCTCTGCTGAGGTTCCATAGAATCTGAAACCTAAATGGTGAAACAAGCCAGAAAAAAGAAACAGAAACACAGATGATACATGGAAAAAGGAAAATGTGAAAAATTCTAAGCTTGAAAGAAGCTTGTTGAGTTTGAGAAACAGCAAAAAGGCCAAAACAATCAGAGGGTATAAACAAAGGAAAAGATGGCTTCAGAGTTAGCAAAGGATGGATCATCAGTCCCCTGCAGTCCACACTGAGGCTAAGGAAGGTTCTCCTTAAAATGAGAGAAGTTATTGGAAAGTTTTAAAGGATGGCAAGACACGATCAGCTATGCATATTAGGAAGATTATTCTACCTGATCTATGGAAAATGAATTAAAGAGGAAAAAAAAGACCAGTAGAAGTTTAGTATGGCCTTCTAGGTGAGGAAATGGTAATTTATTTTAGGATCCCACCTTGGGCTAAGGTGATCGCAATGGAGATGAAGAGGATGGAGAGTCAAGATGGTTTTATTTTCTGTTTTTTGTGTTTTTTTTAAAAAACAGAATTGACAAGACTTGCTGACGGAAGGGATGCGCTTCTTCTAGCATGACCAACCAAGTAGATGAAGGTGTTACTTCCTCTAATCAGCACCTATTTCCCACTTCCACAAACTCACTTGTACCTGATGAGTTACGTGAAGCTTCTGTCTCTCCAGTCTCACCTTCAACCCACCATTCACCTCTCTATCATCACCCCTAATCCCAGCCTCTCCACTTATCAGCTCTGTGCCTTTGGCAAGATATTTAGTACCATGAGCTGAAGAGTCCTCATCTGTAAAATGCGGGACAGTCAAGAGAATTAAATGAGATCGTATCTGTAGAGCCCATGGAACACAGAAGGCATTCAATAAATGCATGTTTATTTCCTCCCTGCTTCCCCTTCTTAGCCCTGCCCTTCGAGATCTTGAATTTGGTATTTCACGTTCCCAAATATAACCTTTTAGCTGGCTCCTTCTCTCATTCTCCATCCCGCACAAATTTGTTCTTCCACCTCATCCAGATAAATATTCACATATTAACTCCATCCATCTAGCTAATTCCATTTTCCATGTCTGTTCTACTCAACTTTCAGTGCTTGTTTTTGACCTCATGATTATTTACAACCTGTGTGTACAATGACTTCCCTGTTCCCTGGCGGGAGACCACAGTACAGTGACTGAAGTTGGGGACAGAGGTTGTGTGCTTAGAAAATAAAAAGATGTTGTGGGTCAAAGCCAGGGCAGACAAGGATGCTGTCTGCTGCTAGAGTCAATTCAGAAGCTAAAAACCAGAGCCAGGCAAGCTGTTAAGTGAGTGGAGGCAGACATAACCTGCCAGAGATAAGGGGTCTTGAAATGAAAGCAAAGGCCTGCCTCAGACAGGAAACCTCTCATTCCCTCCTCTGTCACTGTTGCGGCTGGATCCAACCATGGCCTTCCTCCTCAGCTTCACTAACTGCATTCCTGGGATCATGGACTCATACCTGTAGCCTCTGCTGACATTAGCACACCAGACAGCAGATTTCATGCAGGCATGCAGTCAGGCTTCTAATAGAGACATCCAACCCGCACTTGCTTGCCTTTGAGAGTGCTAATGTCTCCTCTCCTTCCCAGCATTAAAAATATTTTAAATTAAGCAGGAAGTTGAAACTAGTTTATCTCTCAGTGTCCTTCCAGTTCTAGGAGTTTTTGTGTTCAACAGAATGAGCTTGATTTTACTTCATTTGAAATATGTTTATTGAATAAATAGTAGTTGCATATGGTAAAATAAAAACAGCTGAAAGGAGTGTGTGCTAAACGCCTTCACTTACCTTCCTCATATGCAATTGCTGTAACAAGTTACGTGTGTGTGTATGAGTGTGAACGTTTCCAGAAATATTTTAACCATTTAAAAGCAGAAGTGGCTAAGCACTTGTCCCCTTCACTTGTATTTTCAATCATGAAGTCCCCAATGCTTTGGTCTGATTGTGTCCCTCCAAAATTCATATGTTGAAATCCTAACCATCACAGTTATAATGTCAGGAAGTGATGCCTTTGGGAAGGTGTTTAGGTCATAAGGGCAGAGTTTTCATGAATGAGATCAGTGCCCTTATAAAAGAAGCTCAAGAGAGATCTCTCATTCCTTCCACCATGTGAGGCTATAATGAGAAGATGTCCATCTCTGAATAATGGACCATTACTAGACACTAAGTTTGCTTCTACCTTGATCTTGGACTTTCTAGTCTCCAGAACTGTGAGAAATAAATCTTTGTTGTTTATAAGCATCCAGTTTATGGAATTGTGTTAAAGTAGCCTAAACAGACTAACACACCCACTCTTTCCCAATTCCCATTTATAGAATAAATCTATTGTTATTTTGTGTTCTCATCAGGCTAAATACAGACTTCCATTACAGTGTCTATAATGCTTTTCTGCCTATATGTCTTACTTCCCATATGAAAAAATATGAACAAAATAATAAAATTAATCCAAAGAAAGTAAAAGACAGAAATTATAAGGATAATAGCAGGAATTAATGATATAGAAAACAGCCCACTAAAACTGTTTGCAAAACAGTAATCTGCAAAAGAGTTTTTAAACACTAATCTGCAAAACCAAAGTCCATTCCTTGTAAAGACCAATGGACTAGATAAGTCTTTGGTAGGTCTGACTAAGGGGAAAAGAAAGACAAAAGTAAGACATACTATAAAAAAAAAAAAGAAAGAAAAAAGAAAATGTGATATTATGCCAGCTACACAGGAGGCTTATGAATTGTGAGGCTATATTGTACCACTTTATGCCAACAAATGTGAAACTCTAGGTGAAATAAATGACTTCCTTCCTAGGAAAACAGAAATTATTCAAGAAAAAGTATAAAGCCTGAATATACTAATAACCATACAAAAAAACAAGAAAGAAATCACAGATTTGCCACTAAAGACTCTGGACCCATGAGTCTGTTCAAGGAACAGACAATTTCATGTCATATAGCTTATTCTACAGCATAACAAAAGATAGAAAATTTCTCCACTCAATCTACAAAAATAGTACATTTTAAAAAGTAGGCTAGTATCACATACATAGATTGAAAAGTTTTAAATGAATTCACACATCAAATCCAACCATTTAATAATAGAATGCCAGAATAACTTATCTTATTTACCACTGAGCAATCCACTAAGAAAATTCACCACATAGGCTGATTAAAAGAGAAAAAATATATGCTAAACTTAAAAGATTCCACAGGAAACATCTTGCTTAATGGTGAAATATTAGAGGAAGTCTTACCACTTAGGAACAAGACAAGGCTCTCCATTATCATGGCCACTGCAGATATTAGCCAATGTAATAAGACAAGAAAAAAAAAAAGAGTTTTAACTATTGCAAAGGATGGTCTTGACTGTCTAATTTTTAAAATTCTCTACCAAGGAAATCTGAGAGAAGTCATTTAAGACAAACTATTATAATAAATAAGATAACGCAACAAAATGGCCAAATAGAAAAAGCAACATATCAAAACCATTTATTTTTGTATTCAGGAAAATAAAAAATATACAGAATAGTAATAAAACAAATATGTACATATCCCTACAATGTGCAAGATGTAGCTCTAAGTGTTTCACATAGGTTAACCAATTTTGTCCTCACAACCACCCTAGGAGTAAAGTATCATTATTGTCACCATGTTCAGAGGGGAGGAACTAAATCATAGCAAAGTAAAGCAATTTGCCTGGGATCATGCAGCAAATAAGTGGCAGAGCCATAGTATGAACTGAGGGAGTCTGATCACAGGTTTCATGCTGTGGAAATGAATGCCGAATGAAGGCCTTATTTTTAAGTTTTCTGAAAAATACAAGAAGAATTTCTGTCAGATTAGCAAAAATGTTTCAAATTATATAAAATCAAGTGATGTGATCATTGAAGGATTCAGAGTCTCCCCTATGCTGTTACTTGAACTATAAACAGATGAAACTTTTCTGAAGGCAATTTATAGATCTGCCAAAATTGAAAATAAAGTAGAAATTTTACATCTTTGTGTATAAGATTACTTATTACAAAATTATTGAAAATAACCTAAAATAGACCACAGGAAAGGTCCTTCAATAGGGTAGTCTTGAAATGGAGCATTCTATATCTTTGCTATGTAATATTGTGGAGCTGTGAAAAGGAATATGACATGGAAAAATCTCCAAGACATATTTTCAGATGAACAAAGCAAACTGTAGGACAATATGCATACTATGGCCCTAACTGTGTTTTTTAGAGACCTAATATATACCCGTATGTGTAAGTGTGCACAGCAAAAGGACTGAAAAACATGATCCAACCTGTTGACAGCAATGACTTCTGGGAAAATGATTGAGATACTGACAGAGATAAATGGGGGCTGTCATAGCTTTTGCTAAACAGTTTCATATTGTTTGAATCTCACATAAAAGGGATATATTTATAAATTTAAATGTTTGTTATTAAAAAGGAAAAAAGTAGAAAATGAAATATTACTTTCAAAACCAGAGTAAAAAAGTTTTTGGCAGGATGGCAGCAGGCAGGATTCCTTTGACTAAAGAATGCATGCGGGCACAAATACAAATTTTCCTACCTTTTGTAAAAGGAGTGAGAGTCTTCTCTATTATGAGCCAATAATGAAAAAAAAAAAAAAAAAGAGGATTGAGTGTCTTGGAGATAAGATAGCTTGGGGCTGGGTGTGGTGGCTAATACCTGTAATGCCAGAACTTTGGGAGGC